GCAGGAAATTCGAACCTGGTAACTGGATCGCCCTCTCCCTTACCTAGTGACTGCGGCTCCCCTCCCTCTTGAATATTGTATTTTCCTTATACATCTTGTCGTCTTTAATAAAGATGTCCAAAGTAAACCAATCGGGCTTGTCTAGGAACGCTAGGAATCGGGAAGCGGAGACCGAGGAGTCTCGCTCCACAGCTATAACAAAAATTGCATGCGTTGTAATTAAGTGTTTGTGTATTTGTTGATGTATTGTCGGATTCAGGTAGACATTTTTCACCTTTTTGAATCAAGTTTTATATATTTTGCTAAGTTAAACACATTATTTTTATAAATACATGGTCTACAACTACTTGTGATGAAGATACTTGGTGTTTATCTTCCATTCTTCTTCCCTTTTACTCACGTATGCGTTTGCATATTTTCAATCTATCTGTTTACCCTCTTTTTGTAAGACAACCTTTTAATAAAAAGCAAAATAATGCATACTTTGCGTTGCTCTACCACAATGAATGGGAGACAGACTCGCCTCCTAAGAAAATTGGTCTAATTGTGTACAATGCACCTGTGGATCAGTGGATCTGGCAGAACCAGCAAAGCGGACTCATGTACCTAGGCCTGCCTATCTATCTTTACATTTTTCCGTCCCCATCTAGCCAAATTGGCCATATGCTGTTGTCTATGCAAAGATGTGGTGAAGTTTTCACTGATCATGCTGTTGATAAGACCACGTTCGATTAATGATAAGTGGTTAAAGCCACGGCCACAAACCTTTACACTTTTTGCAATATATGTACGAATGCATAACCTTTTGGGAGGAAAAATTACGACAGAAGGGGATAAAGAAGGCTGACAACGAAGTAATACTTGAATTTGAAGTGTTAATTAAACCTGATAATCGACTGCCTTTGATAAGCACATTCAAATATAACTTTGCTACTCAAGGCATGTTTAAATTTTGCTTTATATTTTCTTTACTCCTCTTTATTACAGAATATTTCAGGCATTGGTTAGTTCTCACGCATTATTTTGCCAAAATTAGGTGCATCACTTCTCCTTTTATATTGCGAAAGTCTTTTATAGGTCTAAAGCCATTCTTAACCAGTAATGTCTGACTGTCCAATGACTAGATCAGTCATTAAGACATAGCAGAAGAAAGTAAAGAGCGTGCAGAAAATTCGAATGAGAGGTGTGCACTAATGCTAGCTAGTAAACAATCTCGATTCTCTCCTCTTAGCTTTATCCGTAAATTCTACGGATTTAGGCGCCACTTTTACTGCATTATATTTAGTAGACGATAAAGATAACAGTCTTCTTGCAGCATATGGTGAATTCTAGAGCTGGGCAAACTTAGGAGCGGATGCGGTTTAGGCAGTGATTACTTTACGAGTGTCATGGTAAAATTTAGAATTAGTGCTTCGGTAAATACAAACAGCCTTTGACTTGAAGCAGTTAAAACAAAACTAGGATGTAAATGTCTTTTCATGTGGGTGTCACGAAGAGAATTCTTGTCAGCACCGCTGCTGCTGAGGTGGGATTCAATTTGGACTTGCAATCTGTTGAAGCGCGTTCAACAGGTGGTTGGGCATACAGATTGGAACAGCTTCGGATTGACAGCCTGCAGTTATCTTGATTAGGAATTTTTAATAGTTTTGAAATCATTCAAACATTGTTTTCGGCTGACTGCTCTTGGATCTCTACGAATGCTTTGGTGGAGGCACTTTACCCACCGCTAATTGTTAGACTTAAAAACCAGCGTGTATCGTCTGGTCTGGTCGTTGTAGTAAGCCTTTGAATCACGATCTGTCAAATTCCACAGATGCGATAATGCCACTTCTCTGAGGCGAGGATGAATGAGAGAATGCCGTTCTCCCATTGCCTGTTGCAGGTATTGTGACCATGCGTGGTATTTGTGGTCTGTAATTCCATAGTTTGGGGTTTGTATAGCCAGCCAAATTACTAACTTCATCAATGAACTTGTCTAGCACCTCCCCTCCCTTGGTCTAAACTCATAAATATGCACAGCTGTTCTTATGGAGAGGCAAATTTACATTCCCCCTTCTACAGGCGAACAAAGGTATAAATAACAACGAAATTTGGTGCATATTCTTGCCAAATTTTTTACCTTTCTTTTCTTTTGGTAGTTAGGTTTGAATTACTGTTGCCACTACCTTTATTACAATGTAGAATTGTATTAGTCGCTCTAATTTTGGATTTTACTTAATGCATTTAATGCATCATTTAAACAATAAGAACGGGAAAATTTGAGCAATTAACCAATAGGGATTTTAATTTCCCCGTCCACATGCACCTTTCTACCCTCGTCTTTCTAGGTTCTCTCATGCATTTGATTGTCTAGGTAACAGTACAGAAGGCTGGGTGTTAATTTGATGAGACATTGCCACAAATACCCCGACCTCAGTGGTAAGGTACTGCCTTAAGGTCACTGTACCTAGTATAGTGGTTCCTTTTTGTTCACCTTGGCTTTTCTTTTCAATGTCAAGTTTTATACAATAAAAACTCTTGTGCGAGGCCGGTTACAGTTTCCAGATGTCGGCAGCATATGAACTCTTGCCCATTTTATGTCAATATTCAAGTCAATGGAATGCTTAGGTAAATTTGGCTTTCTAGTTAGTGGAACGAATTTCTTCATTGTTTCTGATGCACGGTTAACTCCAAGAAGAATGTTTGTGCATCAGGGTGCTAGTTAGCAGTACAATTCAATGTGCCCCGCCTTTTTACTAGTGCACTCAGGCGTATGGCTATCGTGCGTAACATCAACGGCCAATCAGAATGACCGGCTTGTTCCCACGTCATAGGCTGAATGATGCGATTGGCTAAAGCTTGGTGATAATTGGTCGCGCGTTTTGACGGCAATTCATCCGTAGCATTTGCTCTTGGGTATTAATACATTCAAAGCTGAAATAAATTAAAACGTATGGAAAAGTGCTTGGATAAAAAATTCGAAAAGTCTAAAAATAAAAAACAAATCTTCGTAGATAATTTGCTAATTAAGATCAAACTATGCGTTAGGACCTGTTATTTAGTCAGAAAATGGAAGTTATTTCGAAAATTCATGCTAACCAAAAAAAAATGAAATAATCTTCTGCATAGCACAAAATCGATTAAAGGGCGTTGTCAATAGCTATAGATAATACATTTGGCAACACATTTCGTTTATTTGTTCTCGGAAATTTGAGTTCAAACTGTGGCTAGCTAGACTGTTCTCTGCTTTTTAAGCTATCAGTGGTTTTGAAACATATTTTACCACATTTACTTAAAATCAAGCACCTTATTCATTTGGCGATCTGATAGATGAACCACACCTACGGTGTTAGTAATTTAAGAGAATCTGAACAAATTCGGAGACTTCTAGAATAAATGACCAAGCACATGGAACGTCAAGTGAATATACTTGGCATAAAATAAACGCACTTGATTAGCAAGTCAGAAGAACTTTGCTGCATTGATGCAGTGTTTAGTGGTTTCCTTTTGCCTAAATAGAGTGTCCAACGTTGGGTATATTTTTACATGCGTTTAAATGGCAAAGGGTATTTTTATCTTCTTAGAGCTAACCAAAGTGCGAAGCAGCACAACGTTTGTGTCGTGTAGCAGGAAAGCTTTCGCAAAAAAGTTAAATAGTAAAAACGAAGGTTAATTTGAAGCTCAGAGCCCTTTTTCCAGGCCAAGGGAGGATAAAAGTGAATAACTAACTGAGTTTTTTGCTCAGGTCAGCTTCAAGGTGGTAAAAATGATTTAAGGATTATGTACCTGTAGGGTATATCGCCAAACTCAGCCACCATATTCAGCGCTTATAGAACGAGAGAGATGAAGAAGATAGATTCCAGCAAAGAAAGGAATTTGAAGGAATCTCATATCACTTTGGTAGTTGGTGTAGGGAGTCACAATTCATTGATGGAATTAGCTTGCCACGCGTGTTGCTGACGTGCTGTGTCAGTGTGTAGCATTTAACTCCACCCCTCTGCCGTACAGCTGCTAAGCAGTTAGTAACCATGGTCAGTTAGCTGCCCGTCAAAAAGTGTTGAACCAAAAGATGGGAAATGAATCAGGATTACCCCATAATTTATGTGCAAAATTCACAGTCTAAAACTAATAGTTTGAAAACCAGTGAATGCTAACCCACAGCTTTTTACAAATGCACTGCCTAGAAGAAGTCAATTTGTCACTTTAGCAACGAAGTTCAAACGGCCGCAGCGTCTACCTCGGATGGATAGGGACACGAATCTGCTGCTCAGTGTTGCTTTCT